ACGAAAACATTGGTGAATGCCACAAATTCTCCTAAATCACTCGTACGCACAACTTAAGAACAAATCTGTGAATACGAACATGTTCTTGCATGAGGCCCATTGTGAGCAGTTTTATGATTTTTACTTTAGTACTTTTCTTATTTGTGATTTTTTTTTTTACCAAAGTCACTTTCTGTTAAAGTATTTTTACTTTTACTTTGTTAATTTTTTAAGTACTTTACACCTCCCCCAAAATGACAATATGCTCACAAAGTACTACACATCTTCTTCTTTTCAGGATTTTTGTCACATCTGATATTTCCACAGCATTTTGCTGTTGTTCTGCACATGTTGATCAAAAACATGGCAGGAATGCAGTTACACTTCTCTGCTCTTCTATTCTGAATGACTAAATAAATAAATAAATAAATAAATAAATAAATAAATAAATAAAGGTTTTTCACCTTCTTGAAAACAATAGCCTCCTCCTCCCAGACAGGGTTGATGGCGTTACCCTGAGACGTCTTGGTCTTGAAGGCTTTCCTCTTGGTGTCCACCGGGAGGCCAAACATGTCAATCTCCACATACGTGCCCACTTTCTTATCAGTCAAAAACTGGCCTGAGATGATCTATAGGGAAGACGCATGGAAAACATAATACAATCAAATCTACATTAGGTCATGTTCCGCTGTACGCCAAACATAACCTCACGCCATTTAATCAGGTAAAGAGAAAGACAACAAACATGAGCACACCTTCACAGAGATTGTGTTGGCGACGATCCCATCCACTGTGCTCTCAGTGAAAGGATCGAAGTGCTTATCAGGCCGTCTCATAAACTCAGGTTTCAGTCTGTAGCCACATTTCCCATTRTACTCATACATGCCCAGGTTCAGCTGCATCGACAGATCTGTGCACAAACGTGTCCACACATCCAACACACTTTAAATACTGGAGCTGAATTGAGTTTTTCTTCCCCTTGCACAATCATTKTAAACAGCAAACCAGAACTGTTGCTCTGCTGGCTCACCGATGGTCTGGAAGTTGAGCGCTACCAGCTGACAGCCGGCGTTCCAGAAGAGCTGCGGGTTGTAGTTGGATGAATCCACTCGAGTGCCTTTAGGGTAGATTCTGCTCAGCTGCAGCTTGTTGTATCTGAACAGAACTGCTCAGGAATATGGCTGCATAAAAAACAACTTATTCTGCTCTTAATAACCTGGTTTTGAAGGGAATGACTTAAACTTAGAAATACTTTTCTCATGGTTTCTGCTAATAAAYTTAACGAGCTACAGAAGCAGAAGTAATAAAAAAACAGAGCAGAGTTGTTCTGTTAGTCATTGTAAAGAATGACATTAGGCTGTAATAAGTGAAACAGATCTGTTTTCAGCATTGCGTGGTGTGTAAACTAACAAGAAAACACAGCTGTAGAAAGACTCAGGATACTCCACAAACTCCACAGGAGATTTGGTGAGCTGCTCCAAAGCTTTGGTCTCGACGAAGGATGACATCTGGTAGCTGCGGACGGTCTCTGCAAGTAAAGATGCTTTTAATCAAAGCAGTGTCGRTGGTTGAAAATGTCACATGATGTTTATTCTTACATACTTTTTGAAGCTTCAAAGCTGTAAAACTTGACAGGTTGGATGTAGATGACCAGGTTGGACATTTCCTCGGTGGCGCACGCCTCGCTGCCTGCTGTCCCCTGTGCATGAAAAGACGTCAAAATGATTTTTGAGCAGATAAAGTTATTCTTCTTTTTGTTTTTTACCAATCTTATTCACCAGAGAGGTCAAGAACAGATCGTTGCTGGCCCTCTTGAATAGTTTAGATCTTTTGATGAGGGGTGTTATAGGAAGGCTCTGAGCAATTAATAGCTCACCTGTTGCTGATAACTCTTTAAACAGCCTCAGTTCGGAGAAAAATAGTTTAGTTATGTCCAAATTGATGAGCTAGCAGCTGAATTAGACCAGCAGAATAGGTTACTGCTGACAAATTTGTCAAACACCCATCCATTATCTTAAACCGTTTCTTCCTTTCAGGATCACTGGTGCCCATATCCATCAGTCACAGAGTGAGAGGCGGGGTACACCCTGGACAGGTCACAGGTCCATCACAGGGACACAGCAAGACAAGCAGCCATTCACTCTCTCACTCACACCTAGGCACAATTAAGAGTTAGCAACACACAGGCCTGTTATAACAACAAATTTTGCTGCACGATAAATTGTTTCAGAAATTATTGCGATAAATGTTAATATGGTTTGCAGACCCTTTTTAACTAATAATAAAATGTTCTGCATGATGATCTGCTGCTTCTGCAACACTATTAATAACTATACAGACAGTGGTTGGCAGGACAGGAGCACCTCAGGCTCCTGCTTCACTTCACTTTGTACACCTCTGTGTCTGCGATGTATTATAGAGCGCAACTACTTCAACTAATCCTTCAACATCCCGAGCATCTGTTTATCTTAAAGGGATCCATGACTGGTTGTAACATTAGACTTTTTTTGATAAACATATATTTTAACTGTAAAATAAAGACTGTACAGTTTTTATAATTTTTAAACTAAAAATTTAAAAATATTTTACACGGACAGGGCCATCTTATTTACACACAAAGCATTCTGGGTAAATAATGACGTGGATAGGTCCTCGGTGCGAGGCTGCTAGCGAGCTATATCCACCCTGAAGGTTAATCTTGGACAATATCTGACGATCGGCTCTTTTAAATGAAACAGAGAGTGTTGACAGAGAGGAGAAGGTAGAAATGACTCAGCCTGTAACTGAAAATATGGATGGAGGACAACAGAGCTGCTTCATGGAAGAAGAACCTCAGCTTAGCCTGTTAGCTTTAGCGTTAGCCCCGATGCTATCACCATATATATGTATTAGCTCAGCGCTACACATTCTCCTCTTGTCACTGAGGTCCTCCATCTACATGACAGAGAGTGGAACGCAAAAATGACTCAGCCTGAAACTGAAAATATGGATGGAGGACCTCAGTTTAGCTTGTTTGTCGTGATAGCGCCGAGCTAATACATATAAGGCAATGTAGCGTCGGTGCTAGCGCGAAGGCCAACAGGCTAAGCTGAGGTTCTTCTTCCATGAAGCAGCTCTGTTGTCCTCCATCCATATTTTCAGTTCCAGGCTGAGTCATTTCTACCTTCTCCTCTCTGTCAACGCTCTCTGGTTTCATTTAAAAGAGTCGATCATCAGATATTGTCCAAGATTAACCTTCAGGGTGGATATAGCTCGCTAGCAGCCTCGCACCGAGGACCTATCCACGTCATCATTTACCCAGAATGCTTTGTGTGTAATTAAAATGGCTCCATTTATGTTAAAATATATTTTTAAAAATGTACAAAACTAAACAGCCTACAGTATTTTCATAGTCTTTATTTTACAGTTTTAATATATGCTTATCAAATAAAGTCTAATGTTACAACTAAGCAGGGATCCCTTTAAGCTGGCACCTCTAAAGGTGGCAACATCAGAGCCAGTGTCTTAAAGAAACAAAAATTCACCCTCTACCAGCCCTTTTTTCAAATTTTCTTATTTTTGACAGCATTAGTTTCAGTTTTGCTTCATGTAAGTACATTAATTTTATTTTGATTACTCAATAAGTACAAAAAAGGCTTTTTAAGAAGAATTATCATTAGAAGTCATCCAAAATATCTAGACAACCTCAACACACAGCATTGCAAAAGCAAACTGAGCAATCAGTGATTATCACTGCCACCTTTTGAAATGACTGACGTGACATTTGTTAGACACGCACCTCATCCATCGAGCCCTTTTTACAATCGTCCTCGTCGTCATCCTCATCCTCACTTTCGGCCTCCACCTCACCTGAAACACGAGTTACACACGAGGCTGGATCACAAAAACAAAATTTCTGAAACAAATTCGCATGACGACAAACACAGACTTATTTAAAAAGATTATAGCTTTTAATTAGTGCTTATCAGTAAGTATAAGACTATGAACAATAAAAAAAACTCAGACAGAAATGATCCATTTTATTGGCAGAGCTAGCACATCTTCTTTGACCTTATGGCATGAGATTGACTCGAGATCTTCCACCGCAGCTGGGATTACACTGACATGGGAAATTATTTTTTAAATAACAGTCAAACTGACCTTTAGCTCCAGCTTAATGAGGTCCACTATCATGACTCACCGATAGACTTTCTGCCATGTGGTCTCAGGTTGAGATCAGTATCTTCGGAAGGCTGTGAGGCATCTGCAGTCTCCTCTTTAGTTGAACCTGGGAATGAAAAAGGTAAAAAAAAAACCCTCAAGAGATAAACTCCAATGTGTGATAAATCTTTACCTTTCTCTCACTCACTTAGTAACTTGATTTGTTTACTTAAACCTCTAACAACAGATTTCACTCACTCTTTAGCTGTCAAAATCCACAAAATAAAGCTGCTGTCTTGTTCTGGATATATAAAGTGCTACAAAGTGTCTCAGAATGTGTCGCCACAAGCAGTTAAAACTCTTACTGTAACCCAGTAAATGTTGTAGTTCTTATTTTCTATCATCAGGGGGCAGTGTGGGTTAGCATCAGAGTGATGCATTCCTAGTTTTATTGTAAAAATGCTATGAGAATTCATCCACAAATAGAAAAAAAAAAGGAAACACAAATCACAAAAACAAACCACAATGCATGGACATCTTAGACCACAAATAGCTCATGTTTCAGCCTCTAGTGTGGCTGTAATACACACACTGGCTGGTGCTGAAGGTGCTCCAGTAGGTGTCCATAACAGCAAAATATATCCTGGCCAAAAATAAAAATAAAGAAATAAATAACTGCCATACATGTCAATCTCTTCAGACGTTTACCTGTATAAAAAGCCTCAAAAATCCGTACATTTTTCAAAAAATCTGTACAACTCTCAGGGCGCAAAGCAAACCCAGTATGCTCTGTGGCGTAACTAGTAACATCAGTACCTGCGCTCGGGCAGGAGGGCTCACATACGCTCATATTGTTTTTTAATCTTTTAATTTCTTCAATCCTACAGGCTCTGACATGTTAGATAAATTTGAAAATCAGGTTTTGAAAAAAACCCGTAAGACTTGAAAAAATCCGTGAGATTGCTCTATATGTCCGTATACCTGCAAAATGAGGTAAAATCCTTATAACTTATGGACAATCCATACAAGTTGACATGTATGAACTGCACTGATCAGATTGTAAAAATTGAATTTTTACCCTCACTGATTCAGTTTATGGGCAACATAAAAACTTTGATCTTCAGCACAGACAGTTTGAAAGGGAAATTATTTTTATTTGCTTTGCTTTGATTTTTTATTTATTTATTTTTGCAAATATTCACTTATTTTAAATTTGATTCTTGCAGCACTTTCCAAAAAAAGCTGAGACAGGAACAACAAAAGACACCTGTTTGGAGCATCCCACAGGTGAACAACAGGTTAGATGGAAACAGATGCGCGTCATGGGAGCATCCCCGAAAGGCTCAGTTGTTCACAAGCAAGGATGAGGCGACGYTACCAACTTTGTGAACAACTGAGCAAATATTTCAACAGTTTGGGAATGTTTCTCAACATACCATTGCAAARAATTTAGGGATTTCATCACACTTATCGAGTGTTGTTAAGAGGATGAACTTTTATCAACATGTGCCGAACACATGCCCTTGTCCCAGTTTTTTAAATTTAAAATGTGTGTGTGCGTGTATATCTATCTATACACTCACCGGCCACTTTATTAGGTACACCA